TCTCTCTCTCTCTCTCTCTCTCTCTCTCTCTCTCTCTCTCTCTCTCTCTCTCTCTCTCTCTCTCTCTCTCTCTCGACAAGTTTGTGTATGAACGAGAGGAACAGGAATTCCCTATGGTTGTTTAAATAGTTCATACAGGGGGCTGATGATCACTTAACTCGGGAACCAGTTTTTTTTTGTAGTTTTTGTTGTTTTTTTCTCGTGCGAAGGACCGTACATGTGCCCCGTCAATGTGTGGACTGAGGTGACACATCACCGTCTCCCTGAAAGTCAGCAGAACAGTCACCCGAACGGACTCTCTCTCTCAAATAATGTTGTCGGGTCACGTGGGACCACTCACCCCAACAGTCACCCGTGGGAAGAGTCTGTGTTTTGACGGGGTTCGGTGTGTTGTCACCAGAACAACCGAAATGCACAGTAACCCGAACAGTCCCCCGAACATTCATTCCAACAGTCACCCCGACCGGTAGGAGGACGGCCTGCAGAACAGTCACCTGAACAGTCACTCCTGCAGGCACTCTCGCGGTAACCCGCCTGTCTCCGTTGTGACTCGAGCAGTCACCCGAACATTGACGTGCGCAGTACGTATATGACGATGTGTGCGCCCACGGTACTCTTCCCACCGGTCAGCCGATAATACGGTCACTCAGCCAGTTGACTGGATCACGTGATGTATACGGCACGTACTGTTTTGTTATGTCGATGCCAACATGCATTGTCGAAGTCATAATGTATGGACACCAGCTTGTGTGCGTGAAGGTTTTCCCAGGCCTGTCTTTCTGCCACTGCAGCTGTCAGCACTCTAACGGCTTTCCCCTTCGCCGACCCCCATCGCTCGCCTTTGAAGTACGATCCGATACACGTGGCTTTGACATCTACACAAACCTGCAATTGTCGCGTGTGCACTTCAATCTGTCTCTGTCTTTCCAAGTTCCTACATAAAGACTAAGTAATACTGTCAGCTCCCTCTATCCTCCGAAAGGACACTGTTTGCAAGCTCATAAATTGTCACCTCACATTCATTCCTTGGCCAAATTGCTCCCAGTATTTATGATAATGTGCATTTTATACGAATATCCTAAAAATAATAAATATAATAATAAGATCATTATACAGATCTAACAATTAAATGAATATTGCATTCTATTTAATAATGCCTTGTATTAAATATACAATATACAATATATTGCTTTAAATTTAAAATAGGTACATTGTTATTCAATAATTTTTTATATTTATGATTCTATTCATTAGATTATAAATTATCGAACTTTGTATATTACAAATTTGTATGCAAATACAATGAAATAGAGAAGGAATTTCTTTCATATTTAACATTGTTGTCGTCCAATCCAGCTGACTGTGCAGTGCAAATGACAAAAATGAAGGGGAACTCGTTGAGGCTAAATGAGCTGCCAGGGGCCACAACAAGTACTGGAAGGTGCAATGGTATTGGAAGGCGCAGTCAGGGTGGCCCTGCGAGATGGGCGCCCCCCACAGAAGCTATTGATCTTGAGGAAGAGATTGAAGCGCCCAAAATGCAGTACACCGCTGATATCTACACTACACGTAGTTTCATGGCCGCTTTTACAGCTACAGAATCCGAAGAAGAGATTGATTTCGAGAAGATGGAGGAGGAAGAGGAGGAAGCGGACTAAGATAATACGGAAGGCGAAGAGGAGGGCAAGGGCTCTGGGGAGGAAGAAGGAGGAAGAGGAGGGGGAGGAGATAGAAGAGCAAGAGGATGAAGAGATCCAGGAGGATGACGAGGACGATTTCGCAGAAGAAGGCGAAGAAGAAACTTGTCAGGGAGAGAAGAAAGATAAAAGATTAAGAAATTTTTGAGGAGCGTGAAAGAGTCAAAGGATTTTTTGGCAGGCATGTGGGGCGTCGTGCTTGTCGCCACAGGAATCAAACTCTTTATCCATCTGGGAGAAAACGAAAAGTACAAATCGTACGGGGAAGTGATTTTCTTCATTGCGGCACGTGATGAAATAGAGGATTTGGCGCTGGTCTGGCTGAAGGTGGAAACGCAATTGACTAAGCTTATCCTGCGGGGTCAGAGGATGACAGTTTGGGAGAAGCGAATAAATTCGCAGCTCGTCAAGGCGAACAAAAAGGGATTTAAGGTACGACTTCGAGTATTTCCAACATCACGACCTACGGGCGGCACATTCATGTTTTTAGGACTATACTGTTTTCCTGTTTATCGAACATACTGTTTTCTTGTTTACCGGACTATACTGTTTTCTTTTTTATATGACTATACTGTTTTCTTGTTTATAGGACTATACTGGTTTCTTGTTTTTAGGAATGTACTGGTTTTTCTTGTTTATAGGACTATACTGGTTTCTTGTTTTTAGGAATGTACTGGTTTTCTGCGCTGCAAAGTGCGTAAAGTTGACGAGTCGGAGGCTTTAGTACAAAAAGTGTGGGCTGTAGTAGTGGTCAGGTTTCTGACCGCTCGTACACAGGCCACTACTCTGTAAGCCATCTGTTTTTTTCCTTTCTAATACAGAACTATACTGAACTCTGTTTGAATTGTTCCCTCTGCTAATCTTCTTCCTTTGCAGGAATTTTGCAAAGTTGTGCAAGGGTACACCTACCTGGCACTTCGGCATCAGCTTTCGTTGCCAAACGAGTCAATTGGTAAGCCTACGACGAGCGGAGCTGCGAAAGGGCGAGTGGCGCCCGGTAAACAAACTACTCCTTCAGGCGGGTCCCCAATTCAATCCCCTCAGACTTGTAGGGGTTCCACCGGGGCGCCGGATGCAGGTTCTGGGGCAAAAGCAAAGAGACAGAAAGCGTTGTCGGGGCGCACAAAGATTCAGGAAGGGGAGGAGGAGCCAAAGTCCACGAAGAGAAAGGGGAAAGTTGAGGTCCGAAAGTCTGCAAAACGCAAGGAGAAGGTGAAAGAAAAGTTAGCGGTTCCACAAGAGCTCACGAGTAACGACGAGTCTGAGCGGCTATCTCGAATGTGGGAAGAATTAAAAGAGTTGAATAACAAGAAACTTGACGATAACTCCTTCGCCCTTCCTGCGTCCTGCCTCCTTAGACCTCCTGTTGATCCAACAACCGGTAAGAGACCTCTTGAGATTCGTGAGCCAGAGGAGTCGTCGATGAAGAAGAACTATTTTGCAGACACTTTTGCTCACGTCGGGTTAATTGATCCTACACAGGCGAGCAAGAAGGAAGATGTCGACTGGGACAAACTGGTTGGTGGCGATTATAAGATTTTCGTTATTGGTGGAGAGCACACACTGGCAAGGGAGGCAAGAGAACGTTTACGGAAGCTTCACAAGGATGTCAAGCCTTTCAAGAAGGCCAAGTATTTTATTTATGTCGGCCTCACAGTGGAGGAAGCTCGTAAGATCGCAAACGAGCACAACCACATTGCTGGGTTCCACCAGGATTTCACTTTCATTCAGAAGTTGAAGTGCTGGCGTGCGGTATTTGAGTTGTTGGGCTGCAAAAAGAATGTCGTCACGAAAACCGCTTGCTTGCGAGAACAAGGTATTTGAGTTGAAAGAAGTGTGGACCCTTTAAAGGTCTATACTGTATTCTTGTTTATAGGACTATACTGTTCTCTTTTTTATAGGACTATCCTGTTTTCTTATTTTTAGGACTGTACTGTTTTCTCGTTTGTAGGACTATATTGTTTTCTTGTTTATAGGACTATACTGTTTTCCTTTCTAATATAGTACTGTACTGAAATCTGTTTGAATATTTCCCTCTGCTTGTCTTTTTCTTCCTTTGCAGGAATTTCCAACCCTACCAAAGACCTTCTGCAATGGACGGACCCTCAATTCCTGTTCTGCATGCGGTCGAAAGAAGTGCGGGCCCTTCAACTAAAGATATTGTTTTTCTTGGACTGTGTTGTTGTCATGTTTTTAGGACTGTACTGTTTTCTTGTTTGTAGGACTATGTTGTTTCTTTGTTTATAGGACTATATCGTTTTCTTGTTTACAGGGCTATACTGTTTTCTTGTTTTTAGGACTGTACTGTGTTCTTGTTTTTACGACTGTACTGTTTTCTTGTTTGTAGGACTCTGTTTGAATTTTTCCCTCTGCTTGTCTTCTTCTTCCTTTGCAGGAATTTCCAACCGTACCAGAGACCTTCTGCAACGGACGGACCGTCAATTCCAGATCTGCATGCGGTCGAAAGAAGTGTGGGTCCTTCAACCGAAGATATTTGATATGTGGTTGAAGGGGGATTGTCTGCACCAGAAGTTGAAAGTACCGTCTGGGAAGAAGTCAAAAGTTTCTCTGAATGGAACTCAAGAGGATGGCTCGGAGGAAAGTCGGCAGGCACAGAAGAAGAAAGCGAAGAGAACGTTGATTTCAGCCGAAGCCCAACGTCAAATGGAAGACGGAAAGATTGTTGAGCCTATGGACATGCCACAAGCGCACTGGGTGGAAATGGGTTCTTTGGATGACCAGACAGTCATTCCGATTCTTGAGCAGGTGGCCGCAAAGCAGCTCTCGATTGATGGGATGCTTCAGAAGTTCGAGGTGGCTAAGAGGGTTGGTCGTGTGGCGAAGTACTTCGTTACCGAGACAAACTCAAAAGATTGGGAGGAATGCAAAGCTCGTTATCCACTGCATACGACGAAGGATCTTGTGGAGCCGTTCGCAAGTAATTGGAGGCAGAAGGCGGACGGGCCCAAAGCGATGGAGTCGTACGTCAAGCGCGCTAAGGCTTGGAAAGAGCTAAACGACAAGAGAGAGGCCCAGACCCAGAGCCGGAAATTGAGAGCGACATTTGCAACAGCAGCGACTACTCACTTTTTGGATTGGACGGAGGTGAAACACGACGATCACTGCGGCAACATCAAAGTCGTCGAAGGGGACATGATGGACTTGAAGAATTTGCAGGAACTGTTCCCGTTCTCTTTAATCATCTGCGACTTCCCTCACGGGTTTGATCTTCCTATGTCGTCTTATGATTTCGTTCCTTTCCCCGAGGAACATATTGTCCAGGTGCTTGAGAACCTCAAGGAGGTATGCAGTCGGCCGCTGTGGACAATTGCTGGATTCTGTTATCTTGATATGCTTCCTTCAGTACGGAGAGCCTACACCAGGGTTTGCAATGCAGGGCAGGAGGTGGTCACCTGGCGTAACCCCAATGTTATGAACACATGAGGGTCTCGAATGGTCAGTGCGACAGAGTTTTGCGTCCTTGGATATTACAGCCAGAGTGGTACTCGAGAGGCGGCACATTACAATTTTGCCTCCACCGACCCAAGACACAACTACCGTCTGTTCGACGCTGTCATGAAGAAGTACATTCACCCAACTGACCTGAAAGTGCTTTGTCCGTACCAGAAGCTCGTCGCATTGTACGCTTGGTTGGTTGAAAAGTTTTCTCCTCCTGGCTCCTATATTATAGATGGCTTTTCCGGTTCATGTGTACTTTGTAACAGGAATTGCCTTGTCGTCGACAAGTGTTCCCAGTGCATCAAGGGCATTCGCGCCCGCATTCTAAATGACATTGGCCCGACAATCAAGAGGGAATGCAGGCGCAAACAGGCGGAAGAGGAAGACAAGTTTTACAACTGCGCGGTCGCCCCTGAAGAGGCGACCACATCGAAGCCAAATGAGCCGGCAGTGGAGGAGGCGGAGGTTGAAAGCCCTGTGAAAGAATCGAGTGCTGGAGCTCCAACAACGATGGCGGCAACAATAGTCACTGCAGCAAACTTGGACGCTCCAGGAGCTCCAACAAAGACGGCGCCAACAGCAGTCACTGCAGCATTATCCAAGGACATGGCAGCTGCAGAAGAAGCAATTCTGCCTGCAGAAGCAGCAGCAGTTCAGCAGCAGAAAGAAGCGTGCACATAAGCAGCAGGAGTTTAGCAGCAAAAAGAAGCGTGCACAGAGAAAGAGGGGGGAGAGTGTACGACCCGCGCAGGACCTGCGGCCAGCCAAAACTCCTTGCGGGGCACAACGACAAGGAGAAAAAAACGGAAGCTTGCCGGTGAAGAGGTTATAAGCCCCCTCCTGAAGAAACATGTAATTGCGTTGGGCTCCAGAGCGGCCCAAGGCGGCAAAAGTTAGCTTCGCTTTGCAGGAGACTCACTTTTTTAAGACTGCTTCAAAAAGGATTGTACTGAATTTATAGTCCTATAATTTTTCACTGTCGACAAAGGGAGATGAAGCGAAGAGAGAGAGAGAGAGAGGGGGAGAGAGAGAGAGAGGGGGGGAAGACAGAGAGAGAGGGGGGGAGACACAGAGAGAGAGAGGCGGAATGAGAG